CCCGTAGGGCTTACAAGGAGCTGCTGGTGGATTCAAACTGCCGACCTTTAGGTTAGCAGCCGAGCTCTTAACCACTACAACACCAGGACTCCCTCTATACACACACACACACACACACACACACACACAAGAAGCCCTGGCTGCGCAGTGGTTAAAGCCCTCAGCTGCTAACCGAAAGGTTGGAGGTGCAAACCCACCAGCCACTCCACAGGAAAGAGATGTGGTAATCTTCTTCCGTAAAGATTTACAGCTTTGGAAACCTTATGGGGCAGTTCTACTCTGTCCTATAGTGTCACTATGAGTTGGAATCGACTCAACGACAACGGGTTTATATCTATCTATATATGTGTGTGTGTGTGTGTGTGTATGTATATATATATGTATATATACATATGTATATATGTATATATGTATATATATATACAAAAAACATGCAAAAGCCGGAATCTGTGTAAGGTATAATCTGTCAGAGAAGGGAAACTCAAATATTTTCCACTAAAATGAGTGATAAAAAAGTGATAGGACTGCACCCTGTCAAAGGTGGAAAACTTGAGCGACCCGGAAAAACAAGGCAGTCCTGTTGAGTTCAGCTCTCACAGGTTTCACTGTATATATACATACATATCAAAAAAACCACACCAGTGTGTAGTGGTGCTTGAGTTGTGCAATCAAGGGTTAGGGCCAAATCTTACACTTCTTTTACATTTCAGTGTCTAACATAATATCTTTCTCATGGTATGCATACTATAAATATAGGTAGATAAATCTTGTATCAGTAAGCATCGATTTAAGAAAAATATAATACATCAATTATCTAATTCAATATATAAATACTGTATCATACACTGAGAAGTTACTACAAGTTCTTCTAGAGTAATCATTCTAGAAACGTGTGTTTTTTAAAGATGGAATCTTACCTTCAACAGAATAATGACAGGATGGATGCAGATTGATTTGTTCACTGCTCTTCACCTTTACTGGAGATAGTCCTGAATCAAAGGTTGAATTCAATCTTTCTTTGAAACTTTGTAGTTTTACTTTTTTTTTGTTAGAACCTGATGTCTTAGACATTTCCTCTCTCATCTTAGAAAATGAGTTCAATGCATTTGATTTAGAAAGTGGTGTACTCATAGCTTTTTTCCCTACTGGTAAAGAAAACTGAGAATAACCAGGAGATACAAATTCTTTATTTTTTGCTGCACCCAGTGGAAAAAGTGCAAGATTTGGACTCTGCTTATCTTTACTTGATTGGACAGTAATGGTTCTACTCATAAAACTTTCAACATGATCTCCTGGTATTAATGCCTGATTTGAAACACAGTTTGCATCACTTATCTCCTTAGTATCTAAATACTTTCCAGATAGATCATTTAGAAGTCTATTGTTATTTTTATCTGATGAATGTTCTAATATTTCATCATCAGAATCTTGACTACAAAATCCTAAATCAAAGGTAACAGAGAATAAATCCTTAGAGCAGTCGAAAGTGTATTCATCATTCTTCGGTTTTTCCTCATGTACATCTCTCAAACCTTCATGACGTTTCCTGTTATTAGTATCACAGATGATTTGATCTCGGTGTTCAGAATTATTGTCTAACAAAAGTTCATCAGAAATGAAGAACTGAGAGATTACTGCCATTTCACTTACAGCAGTTTTGTCTGACACACATAAAGGTTTGCATTTACTGTTAAAGGGAGAAAGCCTCACATCATTAAATTCTGTATTAACATCTTCAAACAATAGTATGCTCTCATCCTGATCAGTGGACAATACTGGGATGCCACTGTTATCAATACCATGATTCTGTTCTTTAACTAAATACGTTGAAGGACCAGTGTTTATTTGAACATGATTGTTAGGTACTAAGTTTTCATCTTGAATATCTTTATGTACTTCAACATTGTAGTCACAGCTGGTTGACTCATTACAAATTTTATCATTACTTGCATCATAAGGGCAACTTATTGCAGAAAGGTGATTATTATTAGAAGAGGGTAAGTTTAGTGAATTCAGTTCTAAATTCCATTGAGAATTTACAGCTGATGGTGATATCAAACAGGTGGACTTATCATTTTGTAAATGCTCTGTGTAGGGTAGGAAAAGTGATTTTTCAAGTATAGAACCCTTTGTGATTTCATATTCCAAATCTGAGAGTCCACTGAGGGGCGGAGGAGAATGAGATAAAAATTGCTCTACATTAGCTAGTACCTCTTTTGTCAATGAGTGACAATTATAAAATTGATCATCTGTTCTAGCTAAAGAAAGTTCATCTTCAAATGGAAGAAACAAGCTAGATGAAACTGATTTTTCATCATTGAAACTGTTATAGCCAGAATCTGAAAAATTTCCAGCAAATGAACTAGAAGATTTATTTGTAACCTTACACTCGGTTACTATTACACATGGCTGATTAACAACGTTTTCATTGGTAGTACATGTGGCAGCAACTTGATCTGTATCTGATGCCATTTTATCACCTGGTAGGTCTACCTGAAAAGTGTTTTCACTAGAATTTGCTTTGGTAGCAAAAGAATCCATAGCACCATCATTTTCTTTTTTATGCTGACCTTTTATCATTTCTTTAGAAGCTTTGTTCTTTAGAGAAACAATTTTAGTGGGTTTGATATGAGATAGTTTAAAAATTTCAGCACATTCTTCATCATATTCAGTCACTAAGGATGAACTGCCTTGATTTAGAGCCTTTGTAAATGAAGATTTCTTGTAATTAGTAAAGGTGTCATCAGCAAGAGGATTACATTCATTCCTGGGAACACTAAATGTTGAGCTAACATCTTCCATTTGTAAGTAAGATTTAATTTCCAGTTCATAGCTGCATTCTTCCTGTAAAGAAGAAAAATAAAAAAGTCATGAGGAAAAAAAACCCAAAGAAAGCCAATTCTGAGAAATGTTTAACACCATACTACAATATTTTCTAAGCAATATTACATCATCCAAATGACTTTAAATAGTTTTCTTTTATATCTTAAAGAATTATTCTGATAAATCAAACAAAATCATAAATGACACTACTGTAAAATTATTAAGTTATTTTAAATTCTGTTTTTGTTTTTTTTTTTTGGTATCCCTAATACTTAATACACAGAAGACACATGATTAACTATTTGTAAAAACAAATTTAATGACTATATTATAATAATAATACAAATAATAAGTTTTTTCATTTCTAACATTTAATCAAACAGTTATTCTGATAATTTCCTAAAAATAGTAATCCCATTAGATAGTTAAGAAATTAATATGTATTAATGAAAAACATACATAAAATCCAAAAACCAAAACCGCTGCTATCAAGTCAATTCTGACTCATACATACATAACGTTAAATTTACTCTCCTGATGACAGTAAACTAAAAACAGCTTTCAGAACCTCTGAAACAATGGTACCTGTATATCTCCTGGACTGTAGCTTGGAATATACTTCTATTTTTAACAAGGTCCCCAATCAGTCCATTAAGAACTCTTACAGTAAATTTCTACATTTTACTTATCTCCAAACTGGTAGCTAAAACTGCACGTCCCACCATCCTTTCTCTCTTAGTCCCCTGATTTCTCAGAATTTCTCTCCTACTTGCTGATTTAAGCAGTTAAACTCTGTAATTCGCATACCCATTGGTTTAGTAACACAAATAATCCTACCTAAAAACTTTAATCCCTTAGACCAGGAATCAAGGGGCACAGAACTTTGTACGCGTGTGTCCTTACTGTTAGCACCTTTACTGATCATGAAGTGCTGGCTAACGGGTTAAACCAAAAAACTCGTTGCCTTGGAGTAAATTCCAACTCATAGTGACCCTACTGGACAAAGTAAAACTGCCCTATAGGATTTCCAAGGCTGTAAATCTCTATGAAAGCAGACTGACACATCTTTCTCCCATGGAATAGCTGGTGGATTCCAATTGCCAACCTGTCAGCTAGCAGCTCAGCGCTTAACTACTTAAGGTATCCTATGGCTAAAGGGTTAGCCCTTCAAAATTTCTCCTTCAGAAGGAAGCAGCAAGTTGGATGTTAGTCTTCTAGGAATAACTGGGAACCTGGAGTATGAAAGAAGTGCAACTAAAATAAGAAATTACCAGAGATTATCTAAATTTAAAAAAAGTGCTTCCCATTTATTTGATTTTGAAAAGTAGGCAAAAGATAGGCTTTGCCCAACACTTCTTTCAGATCTCAGTCAAATGTTCAGTTAAGATGCCTTTTCTAGAGATGCTTCAGAAGTCGACAGGAATATATACTATGAAGTAACAATTGTCAAAACTGGAGAGTTTGAGTTTCCAAAATTACTTTAAATCAAGAAAACATTGGCAAACGAACATAAAGAGTGTACTTATATTCTACTGAGCCTACCAAGGGAGTTGCAGGAACGCTTTGATGACTAGGATAATGAACACACTAAAGACTAATGTGAGCAAAGTCTGTCTCCCTACTAGTATATATATGCTCTACGCAGAAAGAATGTTTTATCTGGTTTATTCACCAAGGTAGCCCCAGGGCCTAGAACAGGGAGTCTGGCGTATAGGAGGCACTCAATAATATGTATTAATGTGGTGGCACAGGTTCTGCTGGGCTCCACACCAATTACTTTATGCACATGTATTTATGAACAACGGCCAATAATAAAAATAATAGCCACAATCATGTACCAGTTACTGTTCTAAGTGCTTTACATATATTAAGACATTTAATTCTCACAACAGTCCTATGAAGTAGGTATTATAATTATCTCCATTTTACAGATAAAACTGAGGCACAAAGAGGTGATGTAACTCTCTCTCTCTCTCACTCACACACACACACACACACACACACACACACACACACACAATTAGTAAGAGGTAGACTTGGGATTCTAACTCAGGCATTTTGGATTTCGCATTCATAATGGGTTCACTATTCTAACTCTCTCAAGGAAGAACAATCAAGAATCAGTAATTCCCTAAACTACCACCAAGATACAAGACAGACATCAAATGAATTATGTGATAGAGACTATTTCAATAAATCCTAAGCTAACAAGAATCCTAAATTAACTACAAACAGTTCTCATAAATCATTAAGTATATTAAAGGTGTATTCTGGTTGGACTGTCAATATTTACCGATAATAATTCTCCCCTAATTAGTTAAGTCTATTGTGGTCCTAAGGCAGAAAACTAGTTCCTTAATGAGATTACAAGGAGCTGCATAGTAAAGGAAGGTATTTCTAGCCATAATTATTTATAAAAGAAAATATTTCTAGCCATAATTATTCATAATAATAATGACTTCAAATTAAGAAGAATAAAGATTAAGTATTCTAGTTTCACCATCATACCAGCAAGAGAAAGTTACAATAAAACCCTACCTCTTCATGTCGCATTCCTTCTATCATTTGCATAATACTTATAAAATGGTGGCATCGACCTGAATGGTCAACTTGATGGGTAGGAAGAGGATGATCTTGCCACACTCTCCATTCAGAGAGAGAGAGTTGATGAATTCCAATGTTTGGTTCTTGAGTCTTGATTAAACATTTGAAAAATAATAACGATAAAAACACATACACATACTGAGATTTCAGAAATGGATTTAAAAAAAAACCACTACCGATAATCAGCCTAAACATAATCTAAATAATTTGAATTCATATAGGTACTTTCAACTAAAATCTCAGGAGAAAAAAAGAAAATAATTTCAGAATATTTAAAGGTGTCCTTTTAAGTACATTCTTAAAATAATTTATATGAGTTACTACTTGAGCATCTTCCTGCTTACATAACTCCATGTTCTAAGCAAATACTTAAGAAAATGTTTGACTTCAAATCCACTATTTTCTAGATTTATGTCCTACAATCTAGTAAGAAAACACTCATAACCTCTCAGTGATACTGATCGCAACTCTTCATGCCTGCTGCCATTCCTCATTCTTCCTGTTAGTGAATAAAATACAAATTCTGATAGCCGTATACTTCAAGCCCATAAATCTTCTAAAAGAAATCTTTCCTGAGATTGTGTTCCCAGCAATCTAGGCATATATGCAACACTTGACCAATTCTCTTGGCAATAGTTAAGTTCACCAATAATTTGTTCATAATAAGCAAAATAAACAATAACATCCCATTTAAAGTTTTAACTATAATCTCAAAAAGAAAAATAAAAACCAGTTGTACAAAGATGCTCATGATAGCACAATTTATATTAGTAAAATATTGAAGAAAATTCCAAAATACATCAGAGAAACAGCCAAGCAAACTATGGTATACTGCAGAGTAAAGTGACAACAAGGTTGATTATGTCAATTATATAGATACATATATATTGTAGAAAGTAATAAAGGAAAAGCAGAACTTATGTAAACATCACAATAATGTAAAAATATATATGTAATATATGAAAATTTGTAGTTTTATAAACTTAGACTTCAACGATTATTTTTTGACACTGCTTTCATTCTTAGTTTTTTAAGCTGACATTCTCATTATGAACATCTCTACTCCCACAGCTATTGCATAATCATTATAAAGAGCATCTAAAAACATGTTCAACTTACTGATCTGAGTTCCTCATTTTGTAAAGATGGAAAATGAACTTGAGGCAATGTTATCTCCTTAATTTCATCACTGTCTCTTAACCTATAAAGTCTGTTCCATAATCTAAATTCTTCTTCTGATAAGGACCAATCTTTCTTTGAGTGACTCTGCCTCATTCCTAAAAGTTAAAAAAAAATTATTGGAAAGAGTTAAAAAAACAAAACAAACTAACAAAAAAAAAAAAACCTGCAAGGGAAACACAAAATACACAATATCAACTCAAATCCTCCACCTGTTTGTTTACCCATGTCTGTTAAACCACTATTCCTCAAAACTATTAGTCTTCATATAAAACTACTTCTTCTACAAATCTCCTAAGCTTCTCTCACTTCTTTGAAATTACTAGTGTGCCCTTCTGTCTAGGAGATAACCTTCTGGTAACAAATTCATTAACAGAACAGAACCAGGTAGCTAGGCTCTTAGTCCTGGCTTGTTTTGTACTCTCTCCATTCTTATTGCCTTAGAAGTAGTACCTCTGAGTTATGGCATTGGCAAGGAATGTTGAATATACCAGACTGCCAAAAGAACGAACAAATCTGTCTTGGAAGAAGTACAGCCAGAATGCTTCTTAGAAGCAAGGATTGCGAGACTTTGTCTCACATACTGTGGAAACGTTATCAGGAAGGATAGGTTCCTGGAGGAGGACGTCATGCTTGGTAAACTAGAGGGTCTGCAAAAAGGAGGAAGACCCTCAACGAGGTCGACGGACACAGTGGCTGCAACAACAGGCTCAAGCATAACAACGATCATGAGGATGGTGTAGGACCAGGCAGTGTTTCATTCTGTTGTACAGGGGGTCGCTATGAGTTGGAACCAACTCGATGGCACCTAACAACAACAAAGACCCGCCAGAAGCAGAGTGAGATAACTTACAAATGAAAACCAGTATCATGATTCTATCATAACAGTGCTGGAAAGGTTATTTGAGGCTTAAGAAAAAAAGACATCAAGACTAAAAAGAGTTTTTAGCTTAAGACTTAAGCAAATAGGGGAAAAAAAGGTGTGGAGGGAGCAGACCCACTGCTTAAAAACTAGCATAATAGTAGATAGTTTAAAAAATGTATAGCAACTTAATTCTTTTTGGCTTTCATAATATCCATAAAGGAAAACAATCATCAAACTCAAAAGAATAAGCAGTATAAAGCAGGAATTCTGGCCCAACACAGGTGACAGCAAAGGAAAAAAAAAAAGGTGACAATTAGGAACCAGGAAACTTCTGTCTGAGCTATTCTCAAATACTGTGTAAGAAGCTTTAACAAAAAATGGCTTTTCAGTATTTGTTTCCTCACCTGTGAAATAAGGGGTCTGTATTAAATGATCTCTCAAGTCTCCTTTTGCCAAAAGGGAAAGAGACCTTTTCCCTTCCCTTTCTTACAGTATTTCTAAGAGACAATGTTTGTAAAACCTTCATTCCTCCTTTTGATATGTATGTATGTACATATGCTGTTGTTGTTAGGTGTTCTCCAGTGGAATTCAACTGCCCCATAGAATTTGTTGTTGTTAGTTGCCTTCAGTCATTACAACTCAGAAAAATGTTTCTTAAGAGTCTAGGAGCCATCTCTTTGAAATGTAAACATCAAGGAAGATAGTGCCTCTATCTCCCTCTAGCAGTGTAGGCTAGACATTTTTCTGGGAACTGTCACCACTTGCTTGTCATAGAAATAAGTTTTATTATTCTTTTGGGTAAAGGCAACTCCTAACACAAATGGCTACCTCACTTACCAGATGAATTTGCGATGAACTATGAAAGAATGCATAGCAAATAGTACTGTCCTCTTACCTGAGGACAAGTTACTGTTATTCTTGAGAACATGTATCTAAAGGACTGTTAATTGCTTGGGGCTATAAATAAGGTAGAATTTCTTTCAGTCTTTGTCATATCTTAGTGAATTGCCTGTAATGCACATTGTAATCGAGTTTAATGCCTATTCGATAATGAAACTGCTTTCTTTCTTTTTTGTGGAGAGGTTTTCTGGGTTGGCAGGATATTTTTAATATTTCCCCAGTACTTGGTTTCTATCAGTCTCTGTACTGCTGGTGTGTCCTTTCCTTTGTCACATGAATAATCTTTTTGTACTTTCAAAACAGAATACTCACAGCATCCTAGAATGTACATTAAGTTTTTCAAAAAAAAAATATTATATGAAGATACGACTATCTGCTAACTAAGAACAGGGAAGGGGAATGCATGCCTCAAATGCAAAATTTTCTATTTACCATCCCTACAGGAAAAGAGGAGCCCTGGTGGTGCAGTGGTTAAGATCTCAGCTGCTAACCAAAGAGATGGCAATTTGAATCCACAAGCCGCTCCTTGGAAACCCTGTGAGGCAGCTCTGCCCTTGTCCTATAGGGTCACTATGAGTCAGAATCGACTCGATGGCAACAGGTTTGGTTTGGTTTTTGGTTATAGGAAAAGATAGATAACTTACGCTGCAAGCTCCGAGAAGGCTTCTCTGGTTCATAGACGCCATGTGTGATGAACATTTTGTGTAATTCTGGAGTGATTCCATCAGGAACCATTCGTGGACTTCCTTGGTAAAAATGAAGGACCTGCCTGTTACCTGAAATAGCTTTATAAATACTTCTTTTGTTGGACTGACTTTGATTATAAGTCTGCAAAAACAATTATAAAATGTCAAATTACATTATTTCTCCAATAATCCTTTAGCCATAACAAGCAATAATATTAGTTTTGGTTTCTTCTAAACATAGCCTTAAACCCTGATCTACTTAAATACTTAGAGAATAGAATTTCTGCTGTACTGAATTTTAAAACTTATCAGTAAGCCCATCTGATGAACTCCTGGTGAAAATCATTTTAAAATCCATTATTACAAAAGCTACCTTAGTAACTATGTTGCACAAGGGAAATAAATTTATCTAATGTCTTGTTGTTTTTGAATGAAGTTGATATTTGCATAAGTGTAAGGTGCTTTTTAAATTTTTATTAATTCCCTTATTTCAGCTTGTTACTTCATCTCTCTGCACTGCAGTTTTCTTATGTATACAGTAAGAAAAGCATTACTCACTCATGCACAATTGTTGGCAGAATTAAAAAAGACAAATGCACGTAAAGCACTTAGAACACTGCACAGCGCAGAGTAAGTGCTCATTAAATGTGGGCCAACATTACTATTTTATAAATAAGAAAACTAATACTTGAAAACAGAGGTTAAGTGGCTTGCCTAAGCTAACACAATTAGTTAGAACTCAACTTCCCTCACTGATAATAAATACATGGTCTTTTACAAGCTGCCAAACATTTCATTTATTGATACCATCTTATGGATAAGCTGGCTATTACATAAGAATAAGGTATAATTACATGAAGAGCATTAGGGAAAAAGAATTCATTTTTTGGCATGATTTTAAAAGCTATATAAAATTTTTTATGTCAATTTATGAAAAATATCACAGCAAATGAGAAGGTCTATAATGTGAAGCTATGTATTTGGCCCCTGAACCAGTCCTATCAAGTTACAAAAGTTAGTTAACACTCTAGGTAACAAACACAAAATAATTTTATGTACCATATCACATTTAGGAAGGCGTACCACACAAGATTGTTAAAAAATATGAATATAACTGAAGACTCCTACAATTTAGAATAAGTATCAGAAGATTTATCTGTAAAGGGCCAGAAAATAAATATTTTAGGCTTTACAGGTCATACGCTATCTCTGGTGTATATTCTTTCTTCTTCCTTTTTGTTTTCCCCAATCTTTCAAAATGTAAAAACCATTCTTAGCTCATTGTAGTTTTAAAAAAGCAACAAACAAAAGCAGGTCTTAGACGCACAGAGAGATAGTAAAGCAAAGTACCCATAACCTGTTGCCGTCGAGTCAATTCCGGCTCATAGTGACTCTACAGGACAGAGTAGAACTGCCCTACAGGGTTTCCAAGGAGTAACTGGTAGATTCGAACCACCAGCATTTTGGTTACAGCCTGAGGTCTTAACCACTGTGCCATCAAGGCTCCAAAAGTAAAGTAACACATGTTAATTTTTGTAATCTTAGGTGCCTCTGAATTAATACGAAGTACTAAAATATGTTTCTTTATATGGATAAAAACTGTGAAACTGAATCTGGGTAAAAACTCCCTTAATTACAAGAATAGTTAGACTCCAACAGAAAGGGGGGGAAAAGATCAACCACAATTACCTAACAAATTGTTTGGACTCAATGCTAAAATAAAAGGTCAATATTTGTCTTGTGGCCATCTTTCTCCAATGTGAAGTATCATGTCATGTTTCTGCAAGTCTACTTACACGTTCTTCTCGTCCTTCAGCTAGGATAACAACAATCCTGCCTTGACGTTTGCGGCCGGTTCTACCCATTCGTTGTACAAGACGAACTGGGCTTTTCTGGGCATCAAAACATATTATAAGATCAACTTCCCCTATATCCAAGCCTTCTTCACCAACACAGGTAGAAACCAATGTGTTGTAACCACCATCACGAAACCGTTTCACTACCTAAAATAAAAATGATTTAAAATTAACTAGAGTAATTGTAAGAATTATAAATCAACGTATTTTTTTCCACTCTCCCCAAAATGGTGAAATCAGATTAAAAATCAGCATTAAGGATATCACTGAATAGGAAAGGAGGTCGCAAAATGGCAACATAAGCCAAAAAGAATTACCAGAAAATGGAAAACGCAATCCTAATTCCTTTGCTTTTAATAATGGTTACGATGCGAAAAGGGTTTGCTAACAATTTACATATGAATGAGAAATTCTAGGTGTTTGGGGTTTTTTGGGTTTTTTTTTTTGGCACCAGTTGAAAGAAGGGGCAAAGGGGAGGTAAATAACCTAGGGTAATTATTTCCATTTATTATGTCCTAGACCTAGATGTACAGTTATATGTAACTAAAATAAGAATGTTTTATTACTCCTAGAATTCATATCTTACCTTTTATACTGCCATTCCAGGATTTCTCTCTGATCAGTTTAATGAAACTACAATAGCATGAGAATGAGTTAAGGAAAAAAATCAGTGAAGCATCTTGAAAAACTTCCTAAAGCCTTATAAACTTAGTTCTCAACTGCTCTGAGCCTCAGTTCCCCCATATATATCAACACCAACCTTGCAAGTTTATATATGGCAAAGTGGTGGTAGTAATAATTATGTAAGATAATATCAATGGATAGATAGAGAATAGGAACAAAAATTAAAAGATGGTATTCCAGGGGAATAAGTCACGCATTAGACTAATGCGTTTATGAATGTCTATTAAAATAAAAGAATGCCTAAACAAAATGTCTAGTATGAAGGACCTAATATACAAAAAGTAAACTTTAGGAGAAAATGTTACAGGAGTACACACAAGAAAGAAATATGAACTGTACCAAATTATAAAAGATAGTTATAGACCCATCGTGAAAGACCATAAGGGCCTTTTCAAGCTCAAACATCCTACTCCTCTATAAGTATCAAGAATGAATAACTGAGACAAAATATAATTAGATGAAGAGCTGAAATGGCTTATAATAATAATGATAACTACTATGTACGAGAAGATGCTATGTGCCAGGTACCATACCAAACGCTTTACGCATTAGTTACCACTCCCAACAACTCTATGAGGTAGATATTACCACCCCAATTTATCAGAGAAAGAAACTAAGGACCTGAGAAGTTAAGCTACATGCCTAAATTCTAACTAATAATTGTCACCACGTGAATTTAGGTCTGATTCCAAAAACGTATAATCTCAATCCTTAAACTAGTTCTAACGTTAAAAACAACAACCTTAAAAATAGGAATAATAAATATAAACTTATCATGTTAAGTTCCCTTATAAAACGCTTCCAGTAGCACGGGTCAAACGATTTTCCTTTAATATGGAAAACTTCAGAGTACACGGAGAACCGATAGTCATGATTAAAAGTTAATTCAGTTCCTTTTGGAATCTGTAATGACATTAAGCCAAGGAAAGAATGACCTAATATTACCTGTATGTAGCTTAATAAAACAGGTGTCCTTTTTTGCCCAGATCAAGAAAAAAAATGGGCCACGGTGCTAGAGATGTAAAAAAACAGGAATGTCAAACAATTTCCTTTTTGGTTAACATGCATAAACTAAACTGTTACTTATTTGCCCAAGATTGCTATAAAACCATCAAGAGTTTGGAAAACAAATATGAACCAGAAATTATTTAATCACTTACTCTTTTCTCTGATACATTAACTGGATAGTAAGTCTAAATACTCTTTGAATACAATTTCTTCATATTAAATCCTTAGTTTTGTGTTGTCTATAAAGCCACAGACAAAAGTCTTTAAATAAATTAATATTTGATTCTTCCCAGTAAAAATGTACGCAGTTATCATGGGTATACACTTATGAAGCAGACAATCATTAGCTACTAACAACTGACAATGATAAAATCCTTATTTTCTAGTAACAAGGCTAGAAAATGAAAGATGGTATTCCAGAGGAATCAGTCATGCTTTTGACTAATGCTTTATGAATGCCTATTAAAATAAAAAAATGCCTAAACAAAATGGCTAGTATGGAAGTAGCTATGGTAGTTAATTTTCTAATTTATTATTTTCCATAATACCAGATTTTATAACCATTACACTGAATGCTTAAGAGAGAGAAGGAAGGAAAGGAAAAGACACTGTTCTAACTCACAGAGTTAACTGAGTTAGAGAAACAACAAGCAAGATATACAACTGCCTATTCGATATCTCCTCTGAAACTTAAAATATCCAGTATTCAATTAACACCGCCAAACTGGCCCTGATCCCATGTTTCCAATTTCCATGCAGGATACCACTATCATTCTGGTTTGGCAGGTTGAAAAAAACATACGAGTCATCCTTGATAACTCCTTCTGCCTTACAACTTCATATACAATCCATTACCAAGTTTTGTTAAACATCTCTCAAATCCATCCTCTTTTAACCACATCCATAACACCAAGCAATCTTCAAATCTTGTCTACACTACTTTGACAGCCTCCCAACAGGTCAAGGTCAGGGTCAGGTGTATGGTTAGAGACCTAGAACTCTGGATGATCCACGCAACACCCTTATCCTCCTATCCTCAATACTCACAGGCCTCACCATCTGTCCTGAGACCAGCAAGACCGACTTCATTGTGTTTTTTCCTTAGTTATGTCAGTCACTACAAGCAGCCCAGAACTCCAGATCATCCCTCATCTCGCAGACTCTAATCCCCATACAGCTGTATATATCTCCATTACTGACCTCATTCTCTACTTCCCCTAAAACAATATTTTCATCTTCTTGCTCTAAGTGAAATTTGGTCTCCCATGAGGGCACTGCTTTCCCTGTAGTGGTTGCTGCTTGCTCCTTCATAACTCATACTGTTGGGCTTGAGGTCAGTAGGTATCCTCCCTGCTTCTCCTGCCACTTTCAAACTCTCCTCCCTAACTCTTCCCACAACACTTCCCAACTTAGACCTAACATCAAACTGTACCACTCACTACTCCTATTGTTGTCATCTACTGACCCAACAGGTCACTTTCCCTCATTTCTCTAACAGTTAACTCCTAACTTGCTTTTACTCTTTTCAACACTGATTCTGTCAGAATTCTTGCTGATTTTAGTGTCCATATAGATCATTCTTCCTGGCCTAAGAGTCCCCAGTCTTTCTCCTACAGTAAGGTAGCACTTATTTCCTATTCACTCCCAGAATATCCTAGACTGATAACTGCTATCCCTTCAAAATCTCAATTTTAAGCATTAGTCTCCTAAAAACTAACCTCTTGCTTTTACAGCCTTCTAGTGCCTCAATTCTAACAATTCTCTGACCCCACCAGGACTTACAATGCAATTCATCCTACCATCTTCTCATTGCTTACCCTTTACCCTAGCTTAAATTCCACTCTCTTGCATATAACTTCAACTCCCTTTCTCCTCTCTCACTTAATATTCCCCTGGCCAAACTCCAACACTGGGTATACATAACACTAGATAGATGGCCGAAAGGACACTTATTTACAGTATGAGAGCTAAAACAAGAGGCAGAACGTCACTTCACTTGTCCTCAGCTTGGAATGTGCATATTAGGCAACTCAAATTTTCACTAATCTACACATGTACGCAAATACCCCATGAATATTGATCAATTTTAGCAAGTAGGTGAATTTGCAAACACAAAATCTATGAAAAATGAGGACTGACTATATATTCCATTTTTTATTCAACATCTCTACTTGATGTTTAAAACAGTGCTACTCAAAGAGTAGTCCACTGAGTGCAATCAAATGAATCCAATGTAATTCCACTCCAATTCAATTCCTTTTCTTCTATCAACTACACATGCAAGAATTCAATTCCAACTCAAATCCATTCAATTCTGTTCCTAACTGCACATAAAGTCTTCCTCCTCTGACCCTAACCACTAGAGCTAAGTCAGATCTCACAAATTAAAGCGCACAGTCTTCCAGACTGCCAAGTCTGCCAAGACTTCAGACACCAGCCACAAGCTTGGGGATCCCCAAGCCGCCCTCAACATCTGACCTGCTGGCTACAAAGTCAGGGCTTTAACCTACCCCCTCAGGTTAATAGTCACAAGTTTGGGAGCCCCTACTCCACCGACTTGCCAGCTCACTGCTCCCTCTGGTTCGATAATTCACTGGAATGACTCACAGAAGTCACAGAAAGTGCTATACTTAACAACTACAGTTTACTTGTAGGAAAAAAAGGTACAAATGAAGAGACACATAGGGCAAGATCTGGGAGGGTTTCCAACATGAAGCTTCCATATCTTAAAAAGGGATGTGCCTCCCACCTACATGCATCGATGTCTATCACCAACCAGTAAGTCCATGGAGTTTCCATGTCCAGAGCCTTTAGTGGGGCCCCATCATGTAGGCATGATTGACTGAATCATTACCCAATGGTAGAACTCAAACTCCAGACCCCCTCCTTTGAGGTTGGGCTGATATCACCTGATGGGTATTTCTGGGATGGCCAGGACCCACCCAAGAGTCATCTCATTAGCATAACCTATTAAGTAGGTGTGGTCTGAAGCCCTCATCAAAGATTCCAAGGTTTTGGAGATTATCTCTCACTAACCAACGACAAAGACCAAATTCTTGGGGTAAAGTTAATTGTAAACCCCACATCCATGAACTGGTACAGGTCCACAAACTGTTTATTACGGTCAACAAGTACAAAAATTGACAGTAAGGGTTTAGAAACTTGACAGAATAATTTGTGGCACAAACGGTTTAGCTCTTGACTACTAGCTGAAAGGTTGTTGGTTCAAACCCACCCAGAGGCACCTTGGAAGACAGGCTCGGCAATCTGCTTCCAAAAGGTGACAACCTTGAAAACTCTATATAGCAGTTCTACTCTGCACACATGAGGTCGCCATGAGTTGGAACTGACTTGACGGCAACTAACAACAACAATAATTTTTTTAAAAAACTGGTCTTGACTTCGTTTTTCATTAATTTTTCTAAGAATTCATTTTTATTGTATCTTTCAAAAGTTATCAGTCTGTGACATATGGGGAGAAATAAATTGATCCTTCATTAGTTTTGATAGTTTCAAAAGCACTAATCTAATGGGCATGTCAAAGTAATGCATCTGATATTCTTTTAATATGTAAATCAGACCCTGATTGTCCTCTGCTCCAAACTCAAGAGAGTGACTTCCCATCTCACTCAGAGTAAAAGTCAAAGTCATTAAAATGGAAGTGGCCCACAAGGTCCCCCATTTTCTCTATGACTTTATCTCTTATTTCTAAATAAATGAATAATTTAATTTGATTATTTGCATGAATGCTCATTTTTAGAATAAAACTGCTATTATGAAAGCAATTATGAATAGGAATAATAAAAATATTCCCACAGAAATTTTGGCATACATAAAAATATTATTGACATAAGTTAGTAAAGGATAATGTATAAATCAATAAGGTTTCTTATGATTAACTGATGAACTCAGGAAATAATGACGTTAGGCAATATGGAAATTGGCCAAAGATGAGGTTGGGTACTACGGATATTTCAAATAACAAAAATGTTTGACCTCAAGGCAAAAATCCACTTTAGTTTCCATTCAGATATAAATGGCAAGAATAGTAATAATCACACACTAGATGGCTGGAACCCTTTAAAGTAACTATGATCAGACTTGACATTGAGTAAAAGTGCCATCATCTTCAGACTCGGGAAAACCTCCTAGACCTTCCCACCAGATCCAGTCAGCTTAAACAGATTCTTTGGAGTGCAGTGAGGACAAGTATAAAAGTCACTGAAAGAAGTGGAAAGGAATTATGAATATGAATTATCATCTACTAATGTCTACAGAATCAAGAAAGGATCTGTCAAAATAAGTTAATCATTAAAGACATATCTAACGGTCGGTGACTACTCAAGTGTAGATCTATAGCTAATCTGCAAAAACCTGCACACAGTTTATAAAAATCAATAGTGTAAAATTTCCCTCAATGTACATTATATACATAGCATGTAGAAAACTTATGACTTCTTATAGAGGGCATAAGGTTAGCTTAAATACCACCATGTTTCCCTGTGACCATACTTTTAAAACAAGATTTTAAATAATCCAAAAAAAGCAGATAAACTCATTATTTGTTTGGAAAAAATTATTAAAATGACTCAAAATAATTAGTATACCTTTACTGAAGGCTCTACAGTGTGATCTCACTCAACACTCACAGTAACCCTATGAAGTGTCCTTATAGATAAGGAAAACTTAGGCACAGGAAAAAAACAAAATTTGTAAGTGATAGAGCCAGGATTCCAACATAAGCAGCATTCCAGATCCTTTCTGATTAACCATTTCACTTTATATTAGTTTATTTTAAAAGTTTCAAAACCACAAAGACACTTTTTTGGGTCTTTAGAAATATGCCTATATTTATTTACACATTTACTATAAAATTTTCTTTACGAAGTAGCCAATTGATTGACCAGTGAGTTAAAACAAAGAAGGCATCAGTGCAAAGCTAATCAATTTTATTTTCATTTTCATTACCTCCAAAAATAATTACCTCTACTTGCTCCTTGTGGGTAAAACCCTTCATGGTTTTCCCTGAGGAATGGCCAACAAAAGTCATTACTTTAATTACTGGCTGATGTTGAAAAAGCATTTCTGCAATTTCTTGAACACTATCTCGAAATGATGAGAAGATCATAACTCTGGTCTCATCACATTTCTTTTCAGAGGTGTTTTGATCTGTATAACAAAAAAATCTTAATTACGAACTTTTCTAAAAGCACATAAAGAAGAACTAGTTTAAAAGACAAGCTTGAAACTATATACTAAACAACAATTATTCTTCCAAAAAATTTAAGACATCTTGAGCTTTTCCTGGTTTTCCCTCTACCTTCTCTAATAATTTTAATAATCTTGGCTCCTGCATCTCTCATTGGCTGTCATAAAATAAAATTCTAAACAAATAAGAACTATCTGAATCACTTTTGACCAGTCCTTTGATTCATACGAAAACCCTGGTGGTGTAGCGGTTAAGAGCTATGGCTGCTAACCAAAAGGTCAGCAGTTCAAATCCACCAGGTGCTCCTTGGAAACCTTACGGGGCAGTTCTGCTCTGTCCTATAGGGTTGTTATGAGTTGGAATCAACTTGACACAATGGGTTTGGTTTTTTTTGATTCATATATGATTCCTGTTATCTTACCGCCTTTACCTTCTGAGACAGACAAAAGCAAAGAACTACAAAGCTCCTACTAATTTCAAAAATCTTTCCTTTCCTTTCTGTTCCCTAAATGCATATCTTAAAGCAGGCTATGGCATTCTGTCACTGAATCTATTATACTTTCAAATTCTCCAAAGGTAACTGCAAATTATACCCTCCAGTCATCACAAAGCTGTTCCCCATGTCTCTGTACTTAGAAGGCAATGATGGTGTTGTTAGGTGCTGTTGACTCAATTTCAATTCATAGTGACCCCATGTGACAGAGCAGAACTGCCAGGGTTTCCAAGGCTATAATAATCTTTACTAAAGCAGGCCTCATGGAGCTGCTAGGTGGGTTCTTACTGCCAATCTTTCAGTTAGCAGCTGTCTTAGTTATCTAGTGCTACTGTAACAGAAATACTACAAGTGGGTGGCTTTAACAAACAAATTTATTTTCTTACAGTTTAAGAGGTTATCAAATTCAGGGTGCCTTTGCTCTAGGAGAAGGCTTTTCTCTCTGTCAGCTCTGGGGGAAGGTCCTGTCTCTTTGAACTTCTGCTCCTGGGCAATATTCATGTGACTTGGCCTCTCTCTTCCTCCATCTCTGATTCTTTTGCTTGCTTGTTTAATCTTTCTTATATCTCAAAAAAGATTGACTTAAGACACACCCTAAACTAACACTGTCTCATTAACAAACAAAACCCACTCCAAAGTGTGATTACAAACACAGTTACAGGGGTTAGGATTTACAACGTATATTTTTGAGGGTCATAATTCAATCCATAACACTGTCTTACCTCTAACTGTATTTCTAGGTTATCACAACCATTCCTGAGACTCCCAAATTCATTAGTATATGTGTAAATATATATATTTTATACACATATATAGCCCAGACCTTTTTTTTGAGATCCAGATTCACATATTCAATGCCTACTTGACATCTCCACTTAGATGTCTCAAAAGCATCTCAACATGCTTTTCTTTCTTCTCTATGGGCTTCTTAATGTTCTCTTTGCTCATATAATAATCTGCAAATACATACACATACACACTCAAATGATTCATTTTTCCCCTCATACTCCATATCCAATCCATCAACATATACTGTTGGCCACAACTTCAAAAAATATCTAGACTCTAACCACTTCTCATCACTTCTACCACTACTGCCTTCATGCAAACCACCATTATCTGGCAATCATCCTAAACTATTATAATAGCCTCTTAACTGGTCAATATCTATGCTTCACAAAACTACCAGAGTGATCTTTTAAAAATCTAAGTCAGATCATCTCACTCTGATACTCTAACCACCTCCGTAAGGGTTACACAAAGCACAAACATTCATAGAATAAAATCCAAAGTCCTTACCTTGGTCTACAAGTCATGTAAGAGCTAACCCCTTGCCACCTTTCCAACCTCCCCTTGTACCACTCTTCCCCTCATTCACGCTGCTCTAGCCACACTGGCCTGTTTAACCAAACCAAACCAATTCCAACTCTCGGCAATCCCATGAGTGTCAGAATAGAACTGTGCTCTATAATGTTTGTGGTGGCCGACTTTTTGGAAGCAGATCACCAGGTCTTTCTTCCAAGAAGCCTCTGGGTGGATTCAAGCGGCAATTGTTTGGCAAGCAGTGGAGCACTTGACCATTTATACTACCCAAGGACGACTGGCCTGTTTACTGGTCCTTAATCATACTGTACACTCTACCTCAGGGCCTTTAAATCTGTAATTCCCTCTGCCTAGAATAATTCTCCCTCAGAAATCCACAAGGTTTGCTCCCCCACTTCCATCAGGTACTAGCTCAAACATAACCTGAGACAACGGACAGGCCTTCTCTAACCACTATCTGAAACAGTACGCCTCCATGACTACCTTTTTTACCTGTTATTTTTCCCTACCATTATATTATATATTGTTCCACTGTTTCCCCTGTATTGCCCTAGACTTACTTTTCTTTTTTCACGTAATACCTTATTCTTAACGTTCTCACTACTCCCTTTGCCCCCACCTACTACTCATTGCCACTGAGTCGATTCCGACTCATAGTGACCCTGTAGAACAGAGCAGAACTGCCCCATAGAGTTTCCAAGGCTGTAATCTTTACAGAAGCAGACTGCCACAACTTTCTCCCTTGGAGCAGCTGGCGGGTTGGAACTTTTCAGTTAGCAGCTGAGTACTTAAACCACTGTGCCACCAGCGTTCCTTCCTTGCCCCTATCCTCGAAAAATTTCTCAAAAGCTTTTGTACATTCATTATCCAGCACAATTAAAAGCCCACTTTCTCCATAAGAAGTGTTAGCACAAACTAATTAATAAGTGGGAATTTTTAGCTCTTTTAATAACTCTGTCTCATCTTGAAACGAATGAACATGACCTACCATTCCATGACTTGAAGTGTTCAACTATAACTTCTTCTAATTTCTTTAGTTTTGGATGACTATAGAAAAATTTCTTATCTTTATCTCCTGTCCCAAAAAAAAAAAAAAAAAAAAAATTACTATATTCTTTCTACATGCAATTACATTATACATTAAGTTGTCCCTCCTTTTCAAAATTGATATGTTAAAACTTTTATTCTCTTAATTTAAGCAAAAAGTAGCATCTGCATAGCATATAAGCCTTACTGTAAAATAAACTTTGAGGGTTTTTGTAAATTTCATTGAGAGAGAATCCAAATGGGAATCATCAACAAAGTATAAAAGGAAAAAAAGCCACATATTTAGTTAGGTTCTAAATCAATTTTTGGTAACTCTGAGAGTTTCCACTACCAGTAACAACAATCGTCATCTATTATAAAGTTTATAAAGTCCTTGGATATATATCAGCTCATTGAATTCTAACTTAAAGAATAAAATCTTTAAGCATTTAACAGGTCTGTTGCTACAAAAATATAAGTAATTATAAATAGACATGTGGGAAAATGGAGCAAAATTTCAAAATTAATCTTGATAAAGAGAAATAGCATAAAATTTCAAAAAGAGAAACCAGACCTTTTCGGAGAGCAGAAACACCACTTGCTGAAGCACTACATGTATCTGCAAACATGCACTCTAGGTGATTATAGAGTTTCATGAAGTCTTCATTTCGGACAAGTTCATTTTTTGTCCGAGTCATTCCTTTATAAATTAAGAAAAGGTTTTCCAAATAAGTAAACTTAAGAGCTAAAATAATCAAATTTATTAAAAAATTAATTTTTAGCAGTAAATGCAAGTTCTTCCAATTTAAACATGAAAACCAGCCCATTCTTTTCCAGTTCCACGTACACATATGTATTAATGAATGGTTTTCTTTTTTCCTGAAATTTATCAAAAACAAACACGGCCATTTGCTACATATTAATTCCATTGCTTTTTAAAAGTAATAAAGCATTTTTCAATAAAACAAAACTGTTCAATATGCGTCTTTAACCAAAATAATACATGGCAATATTTCTTTAAATAATTTCACATACTTTACCTTTAGTTCCATCCATAATTCCACAAAGGAATAAATATAATGATCTCATTCCCATTTGCTGCAATAATTCATAACCATGAAATAAACTAATACAAATAGCAAATTCTCCCTCGATTATGCCTTGTTGTAGTCCCTAGAAAAAGAAGTATATACCAAATTTAACCAAAGAAAGAAATGAAGACATCTACTTCCAGCCCAACTGGTCAGGCCAATAGTCAGTTTAACATTTACAATATAATTGAAATGATCATAATAATTATTTCCTTCTATACTGATTAAAACTGATCACTTCCATTGAATGTCGTATTATAGGGTGCTGCTGTGGAAAAGTGCCAATATTTTTCATATAAATTCTCTTTATTTTTTCTTTAATAGGAAACAAATTTTAAAGGGAACAAGGGGAGTAATATTTGTCATATACTGTTTCTCTTTATATGTAAATTGTTAGCTGTATACAGATTTGTTTGTTCTTCAAAAATATTTAATAAGCACCTATTACGTATCAGGTACCGAGCTAGATATTTGGGATACAATGGAAAATAAGCCCCATATGGGTCTGTCATCGCAAACATTTCTGGCAATCAGAACAAATATTTAATAAGTATTTAACACCAACATTTAACTCCAAGCATACATGTCAAAATAGTACCTGGCACTGAGCAACAGACACTGCTTTCAGCATATTACTTGTACAAATTCATTTAATCTTAACAAGATCCCTAGGAGGTAGGTACTGCTTTTATGCCCAGTTTACAGATAAGGAAGCTCACACAACTGGAAAGTACTAGAGCTAGTATCTGAACTCAGGGAGTTTGGTCCAGAGTCCTTGTGCTTTTCACCACTTTACATACTGTCTCTCATGGAAAAGTGAAGTACACAGTCCTTTTCTAGAAGCACATAACAGGTGTATCTAAATGATACAATAGTTTTAAAAGAAGAGTACTGAGAATATATTTTCATTATTTCCTTTATCCGGACGAAGACTTTTGTTCTCTGCCTCACACTTTCAATAGCATTTAACCAGTACGTATAACATGGGCATTCATGTGAAAAAGACCTGGTGATCCGCATCCATAAAGTTACACCCAAGAAAATCCTATGGGGCAGTTCTGCTCTGTCATGTAGGGTCACTGTAAGTCAGATCAACTCAATGGCACACAACAACAACAATATAACATAGGCATTCAGTGACAGTCATTTTAAATGTTTCCAGGATAATGATAAATGTCCTAAAATGGCACCCTAATTACCTGAAGGAACCTTGGTAGCACAATGGTTAAGAGCTGGGCTGCTAACCAAAAGGTCGGCAGTTCAAATCCACCAGCCGCTCCTTGGAAATCCTATGGGGCAGTTCTACTCTGTCCTATAGGGTCGCTGTGAATCAGAATCGACTTGACAGCACACAACAAATTACCTGAAAGGGTAGAAGCACCTCCCTGCAAAATATAAACTCTCACCAGTAAAATTAAGTTCAACAGGTTTAAATTTACTATTTTAAATTTCAATGAGCCTTTAACTCCTAGCAGAAATTAAAACATATGTTAGTAAACCAACCAAACCAAACCCTGTTGCCATTGAGTCCACTCTGACTCATAGCGTCCCTATAGGACGGAGTAGAACTGCGCCATGAAATATACTGCAATCTCACAAAAAAAGGCTTACTTAGTGGTCCCCCTAAATACTACAGGACAAAGCCCACATTTCTTGTTCTAACATTAAAAGCTCACTCCCATGCGGTCACAACCTAGATTAATGATCTTATCTGACTTCCTCAATCCTATACCCCAGTCACATTGTTTGCTCAATGTCTTCCTCATGTCTTTGTTCGATTGCCTCTATTCTTTTGCACATGCATTCCCTCTCAGCTCAAAGAATAACTCAGTGCCTTTTTGTGCTTGTGAGCTTCTCTTCTGACATTGTACCTAGCCTAGTGGATATATTCCTATTCATCTAACTATTTTTTCCTGTGACAATTGAAAATCAGTCACTTACTGTGATGAGTCCTCTAACCTCTGGTATAGAGAATAAGACAAAATGTTCTAGGTTAGTTAGTTAGAAAAGTTAATTAGAACATAGCCCCTCATGGCCCTATGACTGTGCAATTTAGAAAGGGACTAAAAGACCAATTCTCTATTAAAAGTTAAAAGATAAATTTAATTCAAATCATTAAATGGTAATCTTGCTATATTTTTTCATGCTTTTATAATCTATATAAATCATATCTGAATTCTTAATGAGCTAATGTTTAACGGTAAAATTCAACATATACAAAAACAAAACAAAACAAAATTAAACATAACAAACAAAAAAATTATTTACATTTCATCCTGGTCCTGAGTAAAAATTTAATCTATCATCAAAATATATTCAGAATTACCTACCACAATATTTGGAGATGGGTTTTTCCTAAATTGATCTCTTGCCAGAATTAGCTGGTATTTTGTAAGGTTGGGGATATCCCGTCTCATCAAAACATTCCTTTGAATCAAAGAAGTGGCAAATGCTTCCAAAATCTGCAAATTTAAACTTTTTTAAAAAGTATATTTTTAAATACGATCATTTCCTTACATATTAAAATAGGAGTTATACAGCATTTTCAATTTTCACTGACTCCAGACTTCCTGGAGCCATGGAGGGTAGATGAATCCCTGAAACTACTGCCCTGAGATAATCAGTCTTTAAATCTTAAACCAAAAATATCCCCTGAAGTCTTCTCAAAATCAAACAATAGTTTAGCTTAACTGGTAAAAAAGTCTGCCTTGAGCATTATGCTCTTTTAAGAACTATTTACACAGGATCGAACGGGTAACTCCAACTCAAAAGATTAGATAGGAACCTCAGAGAGAGGAACAACTCAGAAAAGGTGGCTGAGAATGGCTGCACAAATAGAAGAATGTAATGTCACTAAACTGTACATGTAGAAACTGTTAAACTATTGTATGTTTTGCTGTGTATATTCTCAACAATAAATTTAAAAAACTGCAATTACATAAAAAATAGGAGTTCTATATTAAAAAGTTTGTCTTAAAATGAATTTTTAAGTAAACACAGCAAAGATAATAATAAAATTTTAAAGCACTTGACATCTACCCTAGATAATATCCACATAAGAGTCAGCACAAGCTATTATTAGATCCGACTATAATTTAGGAACACATTTGTTTATGTTTATTTCTTAACTCCCCTTCTGCCTCCTGACTGCCCCCAGCACTCACTGTAATCTAAGCACATGAAAAGAGGGCCTCTGATTTCTTCACAGGCATTCAGTGACAGTATGTTGCATCCTCAGTGTCTACAATAGAGTCTGGCACACAAGTCCTCGGTAAAAATTTGTAGATGGTTCAATAAATCAAAAGGTAGTGGGTATATTTAATTTTATTCCTTGATTCCTTCTTTCAACAATATTTATTGAGTACCTATTATGTTTCTCTGAAAGCAGAGAATACCAGGAAGATGTTTACCTGTGTTTTATTGACTATGGAAAGGCATTCAACTGTGTAGATCATACAAATTATGGATAACAATGTGAAGAATGGGAATTCCAGAACACTTCATTGTGCTCACACAGAACCTGTACATTGAGCAAGCGGGAGTCGTTTGAACAGAACAAGGGGATACTGCATGGTTTAAAATCAGAAAAGGCATGCGTTAGGGTTGTATCCTTTCACCACACTTATTCAATCTGTATGCTGAGCAAATTATCCAAGAAGCTGGATTATATGAAGAAGAATGCCACATCACGATTGGAAGAAGGCTTATTGACAACCTGTGATATGCAGATGACACAAACTTGCTTACTGAAAATAAAGAGGACTTAAAGCACTTACTGATGAAGATCAAAGACTACAGCCTTCAGTATAGATTACACCTCAATATAAAGAAAACAAAAATCCTCACAACTGGCCCAATAAGCAACATCATGATAAACGGAGAAAACACTGAATTTGTCGTGGATTTCATTTTACTTGGATCCACCATCAACACCCATGGAAGCAGCAGTCAAGAAATCAAACGACATATTGCATCAGGCAAATCTACTGCAAAAGATCTCTTTAAAGTATTAAAAAGCAAAGATGTCACCTTGAGGACTAAGGTGCACCTAACCCAAGCCATGGTATTTTCATTCACCTCATATGACTGTGAAATCTGGACAATGAATAAGGAAGACCAAAGAAGAACTGATGCCTTTGAATTATGGTGTTGGCGAAGAATATTTAATATACTATGGACTGCCAGAAAAATGAACAAATCTGTCTTGCAAGAAGTACAGCCAGAATGTTCCTTAGAAGCAAGGATGGTGAAACTTCATCTCGCTTACTTTGAACATGTTATCAGGAGGGACCAGTCCCTGGAGAAGGACATCATGCTTGGTAAAGCAGAGGATCAGTGAAAAACAGGAAGACCCTCAACGAGATGGACTGACACAGTGGCTGCACCAATGAGCTCAAACATAGCAATGACTGTGAGGATGGTGCAGGACCAGGTAGCATTTCATCCTGCTGTGCTTGGGGTCACTATGAGTCAAAACCAACTCGACAGTGCCTAATAACAACAATCTTATGTATTAAGCATTGTCCTAAATGCTGGGGATATTGTAGTTAAGACCAATGGAGTCTCTACTTTCATATACTTTACATACCAATGAAAGGAAGTAAGAATAAAAAACTGTAAAAATAAATCATTTTAATTATGATAAATGCATTTTGTATTTCCCCTGTAGATAATAGTTTTCTAGTACATATAAAACATTGTGCTGATTCCAAAAATTTGAATTTTAAAGAATTCTTCATCAACATTTCAATTATATGAGATAGCTGTATATTCTCACAACCAGATTCTGTTAACAAAAATAATTACATTACTTGTTCATTTATTAAAACTCTGAATTGTGATTAAAATGGCCTACCTGGATATACGCCTTCTGGATTGCTGCAAGTTCTTCACCAAGTGGAACAACAACCTTTTCAACTCGTCTTTCATAAGAGTATGGTAAAACATCTGGAGAATCTTCGGAACGAAGCTCTATCTTCCCAATTAGTAGGTTAGTAATAACTTGTTGCACAGCCTATGCAAAATCAATTAAGTGTAACTATAATTACATTACATGTTAATTTTTTTAGTTTAAGTCACTACCAGAAATAAAACAGTACTATAATTTTGCAAGAAGTATTAAAAATTCATATCATTAAATATCGTTGCAAAACTATAAAGTACATCAGATGTGTCACAAAATCAAAAATCCACTGCTGTCAATTCCAAATCATAGCGACCTTATAGGACAGAACAGAATTGTCCCATAGGGTTTCCAAGGCTGTAAATCTTTACAGAAGCAAACTGCCACATCTTTCTGCTGCAAAGCAGCTGGTGGGTTCGAACTGCCAACCTTTCCGTTAGTAGCCAAACGCTTAACCACTGCACACCCGGGCTCCTTAGAAATGGCACAACAGGAGGAAAAGGCTTTTGCTGCATCTTTCTCCCACTTAGCCCTTCAAGTCAAGCATCCAAGAAATAAGAATATTAGTAAATATAAAACAAGCTCCTCAAATGTATTTTGCATTTTATAATCAATGGCAGTGATATAGTCCTTTCATCAACAGTTATAAAGACTCAGGCAAAACAGAAATTTTAGATTAGCAAACTAAATCCCCCAAAACTTGTATACCATAGTCAATGTCAGAGCCTGATTCCCTGGGAAAAACTTTTCTCCACTGATCTTTTGTGGGGAAAACAGAGAAAAGTGTTATCATTTTTAAAGGATACAAATGTACCTTAGGAATACTTTACATATCCACTTGTTAGAGATTGAGGATATAGGGCCTATACTAATTACTGATAAATTAATAGGATATTTTCCATTTAAATCAATATATATGATATGAATATATTTCTAGGGCTAAATGTCATTCACCCAAAGCTTGTAAAGGAATTTAAATTGTAAAATTAGGGAACTAGAGCAAAATCATATAACCTGTTGGTATAAACAACTTCTGTACCAGACTGTAGTACTGACAGTGTGATGATAAACAATTTAAAAGAAGAAAGAAAAGAAAAAGGGATCCTAAAAGTATCTAAAAGTAAAGACTTTGTTTTGTTTTGTTTTTAATCAGAAAAGCCTAATGGGCTTAGTTTCAGACAAAAAATACTCTAAAGGCAAGAATTATGTCTTATTCACCTTTGTATTCCCAACACCTGGCAAGTGCCTAATATACTGCATTACAGTTACTGGGCCCATATACATTCAAAATCTATTTATGACTTATCGAGTAAGATTTTAATAATTTTAATCATTCATTTAACAAAAGCTTGAGTAACTACCACATACCAGGCATTGAGTTGGTAAAACAGTTACAACCAAGATAGATGTAACCCTATATTCATGTAGCTGCTATTCCAGTGGGGCATAAAAACAAAAAAATAGATGAATAAGCAAAAGAATTACACATTCTGATAAATGTTAAGAAGGAAATAATTAGATAGGGAAGCTAACTTTAGATATAGTATTAGAATGGAACTTTCTAAAGGGGTGACATTTAACCTGAGACTTAAAAGGTGACTAAAAACAATTATGCATGTTTAAATGGGGAGCAACAGGGAAAAGGAGCAGATATAGCACAGAAATTTCTAAAAAATCTCCAAGGTTATGAACAGAATGAACAAAGTCTTACAGCTTTGCAGAATTGAAGGCTATCTTAGAAAGTATCCAGTAGAATCCCTACCCAATACAGAAGACCATTCAGAGCTACTCAAATCAAAATGTCATGGGACAGGGCTCAAAATCTGCATTTTTACCATTCTCCAATAAAGGAATCCAGAGCTCCCTACATAAATGGTTGATTCCAAGGCTAGGACAGAAAAAATACTAGATGAGCATAAAACACCTTGTGGTGCAGAAAGTAAAGTGCTCAAAAAAAAAAAAGGTTGATGCAAGTCTAAAGGACATAGAAGCCATCTTGAAGAAGCTCGCCATGATCAAAGCTGGAACAATCTGAACAACAAAATTAATTAGTATTGGATTGTAACCCATCGAATAAAATAAATATCCATTAGTCCATTCTGTTATAAATAATTGAATTAATAAATAAATTGGTGAGAAAAGACAACTCTTCATTATAGAAGAATTCTAACTAACAAATGTAAAAGAAATGAGAGCAATAGGAAACAACAATTAGGCAACACTACAGAAATACTGCTGCAAGAAAGAACCATCTGTGGATGCTAAAATTAGAAGGCAAAATGTGATGAAAAATAGGATACTTGCATAGTGTCAAAGTATCTCCCCATAAGATACTTATTTGTTAAAAAGGGAAAGATAGCAATTTTACAGTGGAGAAACCCTTAACCAAGTCAAGATTAACATCACAGGTAACAGGACATGCTGGCATCACATACCTTGTGGTACGTTGTGCTGAGAAAGGCACAGCATCACTTCTGGGGCATTCTTGCCCAAAATGCATAACCTCACTTTAATCATGAGAAAACATCAGACAAACCCAAACTGAGGGACATTCTACAAAATAATTGCTCACTACTCTTCAAAACCATCAAGGTCATGGAAAACAAAGACTGAGGAACTATCACAGATTGGAGGAGACTTGGGAGATGTGACAACTAACTAGAAACTGCACATTAGTTACTAGTATTGTATCAGTGTTAATTTCCTGGTTTTGATCATTTTACCATGGCTATATAAGTCTGTCAGTTTCTCGTACTGTGGTGGCTTGTGTGTTGGTATGATACTGGAAGCTACATCACCGGTAATTCAAACACTAGCCAGGTCACCCATGGTGGACAGGTTTCAGAGGAGCTTCCAGACTAAGACAGACTAGGAAGAAAGGCCTGGCAATCAATATACTTTCAAAATTAGCCAATGAAAATCCTGTGGATCACAACAGAATATTATCTGATAGCATGCTGAAAGATGAGTCCCCTAGGTTGGAAGGCATTCAAAATACAGTGGCCACAACAACAGAGTCAAGCATTCCAATAATCATGAAGATGGCATAGGACCAAACAACATTTCATTCTTTAGTACACGGGGTCACCATGAGTCAGAGCCAACTCGATAGCAACTAACAGCAAATATGTTAACTGTGGAAGGGGGCACTCTGAATGCACCCCTCTGCCTTTCCCTGTGACCTACGAATGAACCTTCTGCTTAGGATCAGATGTGACAGCCTGGCTTCTTGAATGGGATGAGAGTAGGGCTGACTCCCTTTCCCAGGGCATCTTGACCCAAAACACATTCTATAGCATCTGGTGTTATGTGTTAAGATTAGGGAAAATTGGCTGAAGGGTATACTGAGACTTTCCAATCTTTGCAAATTTTATGCAAGTCGAAAATTAGTTCAAAATAAAACTTCAACAAACCTGAAAATAATAACAAAAAATATTCTTACTATTAAAAAATCCCAAATTTTTAACAAACAGCTGTAGGTGATTCTTATGCACACTGAAGTCTGAAGACTACTAATTTAGAGAAAATTCTACAACTATAGAAGAAAAGCAGACGTAGGAAATGTTGTAGTCCTAAAGTCAAACTAGATAAATACTAGAATGGAAAACTGATCTGGCCCTATACAGCAGTTCTTGTTTTTTTAAGTTTTAATAAAGGGAAATACGTTTTACTTACCTTTATATCACTACCTGGGGTGGCACTGAGAGCCAAGATTCTAAAGTGATTTGTGTATTTGACTAGTTCCCTTACAACCTTAAAAAGAAAAAAAAAGTTCTTTAATTTCATCTCTCCAATGCAAAAATAACAGTGGGTCCGTTAAACAAGCTTATTATATACAGTCCACTTCCATTATCCCTAAAGCACTGATGGTTGAGTGAGTGGAACTACCACTAGTCATATTACCTGAAGAGCAGATGATTTGTGTCTATACTCCACACCAATTTAAAAACACATTAGGGCTCCATCTGTATATAAAGATACACTACAAAGACCTAATACAGAGTCAAATCAAAATATTCAAAGAGCTACAGCAAGGGCCGATGGAAGAGGGAGAAAGACGCAACTCTCCATTATCTGGGTCACAGTCTAGCTTCACAGCTACATCCATATGCTCACCTATCAGATTATGATAAATTATAATAGATAAAAATTGGAAAAGAAAATTTAATAGCAACATGAAATTAGATTTGAAATTAAAAAGAAAATCAGTTTTAACAAATATTTTAAAGATGTTAGATTTTATGTGGAAGGCTTACAATTTTTATATTAAGTTTATTCATAAAATAAGGCTAATTTGAGATAATTTTAAAAATTGAACTTTCCTTTTGTAACCTAAAACATTTTCTCAATGGCACCAAAACACCTTTCTAGGCTTTGCAGTTAGCTATTCAGCATCCCTTTCTGGTATGATTAATATGTATAACCTGCCGGACTCCCTTATGCCCTTTCACATGAGGCCCCAGGACAAAGGGAAAATGAACCATAAGTAAACTGAGTTACAGGAACAGCTCTTAGTATCCCATAGTTCCCGCATTAGACACAAGAATTAAACAGTAAACTCCAATTATCTAAAAATCATTCTAATCTCAACCCATACCAAGGATGAATTCAACCAGACTCACACTGAATCTTCATTAATACTCAAAAAAGATTGTTTATGGAGGGTTTTTTAACATGATAAAGATAGTGTAGGAAGACAAACATACTTTGGAAACTTAAGTAGAATTAATCTAATTAAAAACTGATGCAAGGCAAAATGACCATAATAACCATTCCCATTTTAGCTTAGTGCTAAAAGTGATGCCCTTCGATGTAGAAGGAAAAAAACAATTCATGTATTCTTTGCCAAGAAGACAAAAACATCACTTACTGGATTGCTGCTTTTAAAAACACTTTCTGTATGAGAGCTAGAATTCAAAGTGTTCTTTCAGATTGTGAGGCAGTTTTGGCAGTTCTGAGTGAGATCATTTTATTGTCATATGACACATTTACCAATATACCTATCAGAAATGTTACACATGAAAAGTTAACCAAATACATTACCTCTTTTCAGGAAGGATTCGCAAGAATTTTGTAGACTAAGAAATGCTGTTGTATTTGTAACCTAATGAGCTACATGAGTCATGGAGCTGGTTTGCCAGCTGGAATCTATACCTGGAATATTCAATGTAGCTTAAACTCTCAGGGCTGTTTGGTTATTAATGAAGTCAATGCCTATCCCATTATATTCAATAAAAGCATAAGCCTTATAGTTTTTTTTAAAAGGCAGAAAAATCACTTAATGTTTAGAAATTTTTTTAAATAAGTGAGTTAAAGTTGCTAAATGTAAGTTAAATCTATAAAATAAATTCCATATAATACAATAAAAAAAAATCCCTTTCTCATGTGGAAACCTTAACACATTAGGTACTATCTTTACTTGGGCAGATACAAATAAACGGAAAAAATATCTTCATTTCCTGTTTGAGAAGACCAACTATAAGAAAAGATGACAAGTCTAAGATAATACAGAGATATAATACAATAACACTTAAAGTCCCCAAGGAAACTATTTTACAAATTCACAGTGGCAATGAAATTCATCTCTTTATACTAAATGAAACTGACTTTCCTTTTCTATCTCTCTGTTCTTACTCTATTCCCTGTTCCAATTTTATCAGCAATTATGGTTTTAACTACCATCTACATGCTGATAATTGCCAAATCTGTATCTCCAGCTCAGAACTCTCCATTGAGATCCATGCTTCTATCACCTACTGACTACTGGATTTTTACAACTGGATGCTTCATAACCAAAACCCGTTACCTTCTAGTCAATTCTGACTCATCGCGACCCTACAGGAGAGAGCAGAACTGCCCTGTAGGGTTTCCAAGGAGCAGTTGGTGGATTTGAACTGCTGACCTTTTTTGGTTAGCAGCCGAGTTCGTAACTACTGTGCCACCAGGGCTCCGGATGCCTCATAGACACCTCAAACTCAACACACCTAAAACTGCACTCATTATCTTTGCATGCCCCATCCCCAGATCTGCTCTGCCTCCAGAACTCTCCATCCTGATTAGTAGCACCAACATCCTCACAGTCTTCCAAGTCAGAAACCTCAGTCATCCTAAATTCCTGCCTCCTATCCCTAGTTATGAGTCAAAATCAACTCAACAGCAATGGGTTTTATGGTTTTTTATCCCTTGTTTTACACCTTGCCTTTAGCCTTCTCCCCTCTAATCTCTTTTCAATCTTAATTATCACTCCAACTAAAAAGTTTTCAATGAGTCTCTATTGTCCGTATTCCCTACCACCTACAAGTACATTCCAACTGCTAAGCATAAAATACAAATCCCTTCAATGACCTGGCCCTCTCTAGTCATGTCCCTCAACTTTGCCTTTGTACTTTATATTCCTAGTACTCAGCTGGAAGGGACTGTGTTAGGTATGTTGCATACATTATGTCATTTAATCCTTATAACAATCCTGGCAGTTAAGTATTATTTTACCCAGCTGCCAAGTAATTACATTGTATATTCACCTTCAATCTTTGGTTTATTTTCTTAATTCCAAAAACTCCACCCACCCTACTCTGGAACTCTGCGCCAACCATGACCAGGCTCTCATGATCTACATCTGACGCTAATGGTCTTGTTAAGCTTTCAAAAAAAAAAAAAAAAAAAAGACAGCAAAGATTTGAACTGGTGAAGTGTTTTCTATCACCATTTTTCTAAGACAACAGATCTAAGGCTTTTTACAATAATACCAACAAAAACTTCCAGCACTAATAATTAGTCTCCCAAATACTCTTTAACAATATGTTTACTCCACAAACTCTTTTAAACAAAATTATTACCTGACAATAAGCATAGTTTCCAAGGGCTTTATGAGCTTCATCAACAACTAGACACTTTATTTCAGCAGCAGGACAAGCTCCTCTAGAAAGATCATTTACCATGACCTGAGGTGTAAGAAAAAGGACTCTCCTATTGTGCCATATTTCCTTCCTGGTGAAAGCTTGAGTAGATCCTGTAAATAAAAGTGACATGCTACATTCTAAACTTCAGACTGTTATCTGTAAAATATAAATAATCTGGCCTATTTTCACAATGCATTTGTGCTTTGGTAACTGCCTTCCAGACGAGAACAATTTGACAATTCATCAGAACATTGTATTTCAAAACTCTAGTGTGGTATAAATGTCAAAGCTGGCTCTTGCCTCAGACCACAACTAGAGTGTCTTTAGAGAATTCCTACAAAATGGCATAATATTTGAAGGGAGGTACATTCTTCAACTGGGAAATCCTTCTTGGGAAGAAAGCAAGGAAACTTTATATTCACTTACCCATGAGGTATACACGCATAATCGCTTCAAAATATCCTAGTTGACAACCTATAGAAATTCTCTGAGATTAAATAAAGCAACGCTACTCACTAGGACTGGACTCGTTACAAGACAAGTACATGATGTTTTAAGGGAGGGAATATAAAATGGCCACATTGTGTGATCTGGGGGCTTTTCCACAGGGGTCAGAAATTTCTCTACCTCTATTTCCATCAGAACCTGTACTTTCCCCTGGATTACCCAGCTCTTAACTCCAAATTAGTCCATTGTTTTTAAGATACCTGTCATTTCGGCCATGTGGGACTGCGGTATACCCATCACCCGGTAGCAAGCCTCGATCTGCTGTGCCACCAGAGGCTTCGTGGGAGCCATGAAGACCACCTTGCCGGATGGGAACCAGCGGTAGAAATTGTACATGACCACGGCGGCAATAAAGGTCTTGCCAAGCCCGGTGGGCAGACAGACCAGCGTGTTGCAGAACAGAGCGGTCCGGGCGATGTGCAGCTGGTAGTCCCGCACTGGGCAGTTGGTTGGGTAAATCCACACGGCGCCCGCTGACTTGCAGAACCCGCCATCCTTGGGACTCAGCTGCCTCTCAGCCTCATACACCGCGACCAGAAGTACATCATCGTCCGACTCCGGCTGAGCCTCGGCAGCCTCTGCCGGTGCAGGGAAACGCGACTTGGAGCTGCCAGGACTCTGAGGCCTCTCAGTTCCGGAGCTGCGACCCGAAGCATCGACAGATCGGACGACGCTTGAGCCCCAGGTCTGGAAAAGCGTTCTTTGCCGTCCGCTCATTACGCCGACGACCACCAAAGGCTTTGCTCAGACACCGGCAGCTGCAACAACTCAACCGCCACCGTTTCGACCCCCATCAGCCTCCTTCGCGCAAAACCGTGGAACGAGAAGGCGGGACTGCGGCCAATTTATCCGCTTGAAAATGCCGCCCCTAATTTTGCATTGGGAATATGATTGGCTGGATATACGGAAATCCTTGCGGCCCTCCCGGAGACGGATGCGCACTGTTGAGGAGTTACTCTAAATTTGGTCCCCTTCTTAGTATATTTATTGACTCTAAATTTCAGTTCCGCTTCTAAAGAGCAAGTGTCCGGGCGTCATTACTAACATGTTATCGTTTAAAAATGATAAATGACCTTGAAATCCCAGGACAATGAAAGACCTATAATTTTGTACAATTAACGTTACTGATCGTCTAAGGTGTTTTAGTCCTTGTTGGTTGTATTTTTAATTCAGAAGATGAAGTAAACAGCAAAAGCGTATAGAATGGAATTAAATAATTCCTCTTCTTTATCCAGACTGAGAAAACAAAACGCCAAGTCTCTTTCTTACCGTATTAGGAGTGACAACCCATTATTTAATATTTTTATTCTTAAAAGAGAAGAGAATTTGGTCTGGGCTTGTTACTCGTTCGAAATACGGAAGAATTAAAAAAAAAAGCAAGTCGGCCTTATATTCCATCGGATGAATAACGGAAAGCGTCAGGGTGCCATTATTCCATTCTAGCAATAGCTCCGTACCTCAGATTTGGATACAATTCCCGGCTTCTACACACTAAACTTGGCAACTTTGAACAGCCTCTGTAAATTTGTTTCCTCGCGTGTTGAGGAAAAGTATACAGTCGCTATGAGTTGGAATCTACTCGATTTTTTATGCACACCTCACGGGGTTGTTCTGAGCATCAATAATGCCATCTTCATCACCATCAGCAGCAAGGAGCATCTTCCACTTACCGAAAATAGAAGTGGCAGCCTGCGTACAGTCTTTTTACATTTTTAAATTTAATTTAAGTTTCTAAACTTGCGTTTAGATATACTGTTTCGCGTGTTTGTGGGGGCGGAGAAGGTTATATTTTAGTTTCGTTTGAGAGCTTCGAAAAGGAAATAGTGGGAATAGGTTGTTCCAATAAACCAGTAGGAACCCTGGTGGCGTAGCGGTTAACAATTCAGCTGCTAGTCAAAAGATCGGCAGTTCAAATCCACCGGCGCTCCTTGTTAAACCCTATCGGGCAGTTCTACCCTGTCCTACAGGGTCGCTGTGAGTCGGAATCGACTCGATGGTAAGGGGTTTGGGTTTTTTTTTTAATAACCCGATGAACAAAGACTGAGCCAATTCAGATGTGAATTTTTAGGCTGGAACTAAAAGAGATTAGGAGTCTGAACGCTGTTTTCTTGAAACAGGTTAAAGACTGGACTTTTAAAGGCCTTGCAGCCCGTTGGTAATAAACAACGGTGGGTAAAACCGCTAAGGATCACCACCATAACAGGACGCCTCAAAACGGATCCAATTAAAATTAGATGACGATTTAGTCTTCAACGTCGTCAGACGCTACGATCACCTCGGCTGGTTTTACCCGGACCCAACAAAAAAGCCCTCATTGCGCGGCCTTGACGTCACTCAAGGACAGGCCCCAATCCCGCACGGTAGCGCAGTGACCCCGCCTCCTCGGCCTCCGCGCGCGGTCCACGTCCCGCCCCAGGGGCGGTGCGATGCCGAGCCGGGCGGGCTAGCTCAGTAGGCTGAGGCAGCGGGGGAAGATGGCGGCGAACGTTCCGCAGCGGGCGTGGACCGTGGAGCAACTGCGCAGCGAGCAACTGCCCAAGAAAGATATTATCAAGTTTCTGCAGAGTCATGGTTCAGATTCGGTACCAGAGGCGGCGGGGCGGCAGGGCTGGTGTTGCTGAGGGACGCCTCCCCCCCTCCCCCCCGCCGGAGATGCCCGTACATTTAATTTAATTTAAATTCCTCGGTGCCCCCGCCCTCGTCCTCGCGCGGCCGGTGGTCTGGAAGGCCGGAGCGGCCTTTCATGCGGTTGGGAGCTGTGCTACCGCCCTTGGTCCGACCGCATCTGGGCGGGAGGATCAGCTTTGTCTCCAGGGGCACACAGGCTGCTAACAGGGAGTTAGAACCTCAATGGATACTTGAGTGGGCGGAGACCATGAAAAATGGAACCGGGGAAGTATTAGGGCTGGGAGTGGGGGCACCAAGACAAGGCGCTTGGGTGAAACTCATGGGAGTGGAGTATGGGCTCTTAGGAAACTAGGAAGGAATATTAACATTTCTATGGGAATGGTGTGTGCAATACTGTATGTGATTTTTTAAAAATGCGTAGATTGCGGTTTAATTTTTTTTTATTTAATAGGGACCGTTTAAATAACCTTTTCACCTTTTTTGGAGCCCTAGTGGCGCAGTGGTTAAGAGGTCGGCTGCTAACGAAAAAGACAATTCGAATCCACAAGCCGCGCCTTGGAAACCGTATGGGGCAGTTCTACTCTGTCCTGTAGGGTCGCTGTGAGTCGGAATCGACTCGACGGCACACGGGTTTGGTATTTCGTTTCACCTCTTAGGGGAGTTGATGCACTGTTCTTATGCAGTGGTCTCCCACTGTTAGAAGCATGCATACCAAAAAAAAATTTGATTTGGCATTCTTTATACTGTAATGCCCAGCATTTTTCAGCAGTCTCCATCTTAACTACCCGTTCTGTAGTAACATTTCTTTCATGCTTCTCTTGAATTGCTGAACTACTGTACACTTTGTTGTACAAGGCACTCAGCAGCATCCTTTACTCATGGGAAATAAAGCAGCGGCCTGCATGTGGTTTCTCTAAATTTTTCTAAGCTTGCATTTAGAAAAATTCTTTCTGGGTTTTTGTTTGCGGGGGAGGGAGGTTGTATTTTACTTCCACTGGTGGTGGGTGGGTCCTGAAGGAGAGGGAGACAAACTCCAATTTTCAGTTCCATAATCCTGAGTAATTTTCCTGGCATCAACATCTTAAATTAATTCAGCTAGCGTTTATACAGCATCTACTATGGCAGTAAATATGACAGTGTTTGGCAATACAAGAGTGCAAAAGAAAGGCCATGTCGCAGTGATCTGAAACGGTTTAATGGGATTTTTTTTAAATTCATATTTCATCTGGTACAAAAGAATAGAGTAGGAATATCTTTTTTTTTTTTTTTTGAATATCAGCTG